ACTGTTGTCTTGCTGCTGTACAACAGAAAGCTTCAAACAGAGGCACAAGAGTGGTCTCTGGTGGAAGCAGATCGGATCTACAGCTTTGCCACCAAACGCACCGGAACCCAGCCCACAGTCCTCTGTCCACAGCTACCAGAAAACACTTCTTTTAGCCGTAAAACTCTATTAGCCTGATGCATTATACCCTAAAAAAAAATGGGTTCTCACGCACACTTTGGGACTTTAGATCTTTTATCACTTATGATCTTACTGTACTCAAATCTACCAGAAAACACAGAACGGGAAGCGCGGCTTTTCTGAAGTATTTTCTTAAACGTGGAGTTAAGAGAAACTGCAATCAAAACACTCCGTCCCACTTCAGAGCTGTAACACATTGACCAACCAAGTTTTCAACAGCTGATAAGGAGGGAAGCCGAGATAAAGAGAGACAGCAAATAGTAGCTCAGGGCAGCAACACCACTAGTAAATGTGCAACCACAGTGAAAACATTAGAGCTCATGTTCTTTTTCCAAAATCGAGATCTCAGCCTATTTACGCTTACTTCAGAATTAAGATTTAGAAACCTGAGCCCAGCAAAAGTAGCATTAGATGGGAAAAATCTCATCAGACAGTTCAGAGGAACTTTAAAAACATCACAAAAATCCACTCACTCATGTTCAATAGACACTTCCGTGTAACTTGGAGTTTGATCAAGACACACAGAAAGTGCCCTGTCAGCTTCAACAGCCTTTGAATCAGGACTACAAACCAGAAAACAACAGAAGAGATAATGCCAATCAAAGAGAAAACAAATACAAGAGGGAAGAAAAAAAAGCAAAAAAAAAATCAAAGCAACGGTCAGATAGCTTCTTTCCACATTCCTGTTTTTAAAGGGAGCGTGAGCTATTTACCAGCGTACAGTTATCCACAGACTGCAAAGAACCCACCAAGGGTCCTGGTGCAGAATTCCCACCTGCACTAGGTCTTCATGACCACCTTGGAGAAAGCGGCATTAGGGAACACCAGCAAGTGGGTCAGCACTTACCCAGACTCAGCTACCTGCTCACGAGGCCAACAGCTTGGTGCCACCACGCTTCATTTCTTCATTCCACACCAGACCACTGCTTTCAGCCCAGGCTGCCACTCCAGTCATCACAGGAAAAAAATGAAAGGGAAATGGGGGAAAAGAAAGCAGCTTTTTGTTTTGGAGGTGGGGTCAGTTTTGTTGGGTTTTTTTCCTGCAGTACGGAGCCATCCCTTGTTCTAACTAGATGAAAATCCAGAATATGTAAGAAGGCATCTCACATCTAGTAACCAAGGCAGATGAAGCTGGCAAGAAAGCTCTCACCAGACAGTAATCCCTTCTCCAAACCATTAACTTATGTTGTGTGCTATCCCAAGGATATGGCTGAAAAGTCTCATTTCCCCCAGGGAAAATAAAAGCTATTTCTTGCACACCTCAATTACGCGTTCCCGAACTGACCAGGTCTAAAGCAAGGCAGAGCCAAGTTATTCTCGGAGACAAAGAACTGTTAAGTCCTGGTTGAGGCAGTCTTTTCCTTCTTCCCCAAAATACCCAGCAGTACGCCCAACCTCCAAGAAAATGGAGTAACATGGGATTTGCTGTGATAGACGGCAACGCTCTCAGCAGCGACAGTTCATGACTTAGGCTGGCTTATCAAAAAAGTGAATTTCCAGCCTACCCTCTCTGGGACACACACAGTCCGAGACTTACACTCGCCACACACAAGACTGCCACGGGCACCTACAACAGAAATAGAGAACTGAGCAGGGACTCTTGTTACTGAAATCAGAGGTGTTGAGCTCTCCAGGTGGGCCAAGTTAGGGAGAACTTGAACGAGAGCCACACATGTGGTTGAACACGGGCTTAGGTATGTTTGCCTTTACTCACCCCTACTCCCAGGTCACCCTCAACTGCTGAAGTTTTCCTATGTGGTGAACGGCAAAGATCAGGTATACACACTCAAATTCATCTTTTCCCTGCGTTTGGGAGATCCCCTGCAAGCTTCACGATGGCCTTACAAGAACTACACTATAAGAAAAACACAAGCACAAGTGGTCAAATACACCATTTTTTAATGCAGATTTGTAAAATTTAAGCTCAGTTTTGAGAATTTAGGACATTTCATGAAAGAGCATTTGGTCCTCCTAAAAATTTCCCATCCCCAATTAAATACTTCATGGAAAAACAACAATTAAGCATACATTGCATTTTTAATTAGGAAATATTGATATTGCACATTATACCAAGAAATACAAAAGTCTGTTTCAGCAAGTTATTCCAGCAGTGTTATCAATTTCATTTTGATATCATTTACTTATACAAAAGTTTTAATTTTAGTGCATAACATGTGCCCTGTCATTACAGAGTGAAAACGTATCAAAGCATTTTTATAACTAAGAGAAAGAAAAATTGGCTCCTTAAAGAATACAAAGCCTTTTACCGCGTAGTCAGCACCAGTTTGTAGACAAAAACCTTTCCTATGGAAAGATGGCTGTCCAGTCACCTTGGCAACGCAAATTTCAATGCAGTTTCTAAGGAGAAGCTGACCATATACTATTTGGCACTGCAACTAACGGCCCAAGTCACTAAGGGCTGAAAGGCTGCGATACCTGCCCATACTGTTCCCATTCCACATCCACCTCTCACTATTTCTGCCAACACACAAGAGGGAAAAGCACGGCAGCAGAAGTTGCGCAACTTCATTACAGTCGTGTCGTTCTCTGAGGAACACTCCGAAACAGATTTCTGTGCATAACACTGGGCTGGAACCCTCACCGGGGTTCAGGTGCTTCAGAAGGCACAAAACCCTGAGAGGCAATTGCAAGGTACACGATGCACGTTCAGAGAGCTGAACTGTGAGTCGGGGAGAGATAATCACCAGAAGCAGCCGCCAGCACACCGAGGGCAATGTCCGTCCTGGCATCTGCCGCGCCAGGATTTTAAATGGCCACTTGTGGAACGCTGCGTTTGGCTTCCACACTGCCGAGCACTTCTCACTGCAGAGCTACCGTTAGAAGCCCTGGCCCAGCAGCAGGGCTTCAGAAAGCCCAGACAGTTTCGCTTTCTACCTCCCTCGGTCGGCAGAAAGCACCGCCTTCACGCACGCTCCTGCGCTTCTTCGCATGTTTGCAAACTGAAGCATACCTGCATGCCCAGGCACCGTTTACTGGTTAAGAAGCTGTACCTTGAACCTCTCCCAATATCTCTTTGGATCTTAACACCTTGAATTTATGTTTTGCTTTGAAACAGGCAACCAAGAAATTCCAGTAATAGGTTTGCAAAGCCGATTCTACAGGGACTGAAATTGCCAGCTGCCTCAAATACCAAGGCAACCGATTCTATTGCCACGTTTTGGGAAATCTTAACATATTCCTCTCTCCCCGCTCCAATCCTCCCCCCTTAAAATACACCCAATAAGACTAAGAAGACAGGATTATTGGGGTTTTTTTGCCTGAATATAAGATATAACTATCACAGAATAGAAGATTCTACAATGAAGTCCCTGAGATGCATCTGTATACTAAAAGATTCAAACAACCTCTTCAGCACTAACTTCATATTTATTAGAAATGTTTTGAGTTGCAACATATGTTTTTGGAAAACCGATGTTGTTATAAGAAGGTGAAAATACAGCAGATCAAGTTTGCCCTTATATTTAAGCCTTAATTTAAGAAATAATTAACTCAACAGCAACATTTAACTACTTCAACTGTAGTCAAAAGTAAAAAGCACGTAAGCAATGGGGAGCCACTGAAAAAAACCCTACTGCTATACTTAGAATTAAGGGTTTTTGGCTTCAGTTTGTTTTCATCCCTCAACAGCCCTGCCTGAATTTAACTGCTTTCTTCCTGAAAGTTCGTAGCCAGTTAATTCCTCAAACATTTCTGTATTTCAAGATAATGGGATGAAGCAACAGCATTTTTCTCACCATTCCTCACTGGAACCAAAAGGCACAATTTACGGGTACAGTATAACACTACAGTCAGCATCGAGAGCTGCTGCAGCCATCACCCTGTTAGCATGGCATGCACCAAACCGTCTTGTGGCAGAGAGAAGGTAGCGTACTGCAGGCTCAGACCTCTTACAAACTCCATCCCCAGGGTGATGCAGAGGCAGCCCCGTTACCAACTAAAACGATGAGGATAAATCCAGCCCACAAGTATTCTTTGGGATGGGCACAGCAGTTGCTAGTCTTCCAGTATCTTTTTTTTTTTTAAAAAAAAACAGAAGGAAAAGTCATCTCACATGTAAATTACTTTTTAAGTTACTTTGGGATCCACTGTGTTTTATAACCAGCTAATCAGAAATACTTTATCCACCTTCCCAAGCAAGCTCAGTTTTTCCTGCTAGTGAAGACAACTTAAGGCACTAACACATTAACGCTGTCAGGAATGTGAAATAGTTTGTTCTTCATGTACTGTTATACCAGTTCTTAGCAGCATCTCTCCTGAAAAGGCACTAGACACATGGCAAACAAAAAAACTTTTGGAACTTCTGCTCAGCTAAGCTACATAAAGTTAGCTGCTCAGACAGCTGAGTGGCTTTGTAATTTCCCCTTCCCTCCCCCCCATTCCTCTACAAAAAAAGGCACCTGATTTGTTTTATTACTGGTTTCTGTAGCCACAGGCTCTTGCAACCGTGTAGTTCTATACAACCGTGTGTATGAGGGACACCATGATTATACTGATAGCTTCTTATATGATCAGGAGTTATCTTTTCAAGATACTATTCTAGATACAGCGTTTTTGTTTCAGCAAAACCCACCACCAGTGGGTTCCTACCTGAGTAGTACTTAAGGTTGTGTATTGCTCGTCAGAATAATTCAATGATTAAACTTGGTGTAAGAAATTGCACTTTCCCATTCCTTCCCCAATCCCATGATCATTTCAAATTAAATACTAGACCCTTTTCTAAAGGGACATTTGTAATACAGCTACAAAGAGGTAGCTAAGTGGCACATGCCAATTTTCTTTTCTTTTTTCTTTTCTTTTAAAAGTATATTCAGCCTTCATTTGCAACGACATTTTTCATAGGAAGTCTTAAAACAAGGAATCTCTATTCAGGTGGCACATGGAGTTACCGCAGTTCAGAAGATGGAACTCGTAAGAGAACTTGATCTCCCTTCATGTCCATAATTGAAAACTAACAAGCATGGGGGATACCCAAGTGACTCAGCGTATGCAGGTGTGTAGCTGAAGAGGAAAGGGATGTCTACAGCCAAATCCCATGCTCCTCCTGACATATGATAAAAGTTACTCTGAAGAACCATTCAGATCAAGCCCACCATTCGATCAATCTGTCTCATGTAGTTACTCTTCAATGGCAGTAAGTATCTCCTCTCATCAGGAACTCTGTTACACTGTCAACAAAATTAGAATATTGTTAAGAACTCAAATACAAAAACAGGCAATCCCATGCCCTCTGTAACCTAGCAGGCATTTCAGCATCAGTAACCATAGATTTCCTCCCAGTACAGAAAATTTTACCCAATAGCACTTTTGGTCCCAACTCTCCCTCACTCTTTGCAAACTACAGCACAAACCACATAAATGAACAGCAAGTGTTTCCTTCGTGCAGGCTGCAAGCTTCCAAATACACGCCAAACTACTGCAACTTGTTATTCAACTGAGACTTCCTTCACTATGACAACTGTGAATGTTTTTTAAAATAATGCTCTTTTTCTGCAGGACTGGGGGGAGGAGGAAAGGAACGATGCTAGAACCTACTAGCAGAGATTTAAAAAAATTGTTCTGTATTAAACACATATCTATTTCGGTTGGCGATAGGCACTGGATCCATAGCTCTGTACTCAGTTCATGCCTAGCTAAGAAAGGTCACCTTTACGTGCGTCAAAACCATTCTGAGGAAAAAAAAAGCTCTGTTTAAATGACCCTCTGCGTTTCTCTTCCCCCATCACAGCAACACTGGAAGATTCTAAGGTCAAAGAAAAGGGGAAGTGAAAAAAATAACTGGAAATAAATTAACAAAGAACAAACTAATTGCTGCAAAATACTAAAAAGGGGACAGGTTTCACCTTCAACATAATCACTGCCCCATTATCCTAATCCATGCATTCCACTACTGAAACTGTTTTTCACAAGGGAGGTTCTCAGATATTTGACATTTATAAAGGAAACACTGCAGAGCCCTAAAGCACCACTTCCAAATAGCTCTTTTTCTACAGCCTACCCCAGTTCAACATACATCCCTTCTCCAGCAACACAATCAGGACCAGTGTGCATTCCTTACATTAGAACTGAAGTTGAACGCCTTTAATTCGTTAGGTTTAATTTTTTCTGCGCTGTCCTCTTCTTCAGGGAGGATGTCTTGCCACAGAGAGTTACGAAAACGTTCATCCACAGACACAATATGTCCCTCAGTAGTAAACATATACTTATTTCCAGATTTATGCAGTGGATTCTCTTCATCAAACAACTAAACAAGAGATGGGAGACACAGCTATAGTATGCATGCAACATTCTTCATGTCCCGTCAACAGTAAGTTAAAACACATGCGCTCATGAATTGGAAGCATCACACAAAAAGCATACCTTTTAGTGCTAAATGGGTAACTACTGTTAAAGCAAATGGAAATAAATAGTTTTAATGCAAGCGATTTATTTTAACAGTTAAAAGAGGAGAGCAAAAGAAAAACTTCTCACCCAACTTAAACTGCCCTTATTTTTCTAAGCTGCACTATGCAGGCATTTCTAGGCTGGCATCCACTGCTTCCATTCAGTCACAGATTTATTTGTTTTTCTACACTAAAGGAGATTGAGAACAGTAGCTTAAGCAGTGTTGGCTCAAATGCTTTCTCCTGTGACTGCCAAAGTCTGATGGGGAGAAATCGGAGGCCGCTGTGAGGCAGGCAAAATGGCTACAAGCAGTAATTTAGCTCAGAGCTGAGTAGCAGCTTCCTTCAGTCTTGCTTCCACTCCTTTCCAGCTCCCCCCAGAAAAGAGCTGCCGGCTCTCCAGCCAGCAGCTGCCCAAACCTCCAAGATTAGGCTAGAGTCAAAGAAAGAAAAGCAGTGCTTTCTCCAATACACTCTGATACCTAAACCCCTCTCTTCCCCAGAGTGCAGCAGTTTCTAATTAACAATGTCCTGCCTCATCAGTGTGCCATGTTTATGCACAGCACATGCAAGAGCGTGTCTTTGAAACTAAGAACATATACATACCAGATACAAATATTTACATGTTTCACTGAGAAAAAAGCTCTCCATTCGATCTTCCTTTGTCTTCTCTACAACGTGGTGTAATGTGGCATAGCCGCACCTGCAAGATTTAAGATTAGTTTGGGTTTAGTTCCCACGTGTTCTGATCCTGAAGCGCTCTCTAGATATTCCTTAACTTCAGACCATTCCAGTCGTCACTAGGAGTGAAGCTAAATGAAACAAGTCTCTTTTACAAGTAAGCACTGATTATTGGTTTCTGGTATTCTGATGAGACTGCAATCATTGACCCTGTGGTTCACCTACTCCATCATGCAGATTTATTAAGCGTTTTTCAAAGAAGCAAGATATTCTCAAGGCACCCTGCACAAAACAGGTGGTTTCCCCATACTGAGCACATGAGAAACGCAGGTCTGGAAGCCTGGTCTCATGCACAGGTTTCCTCCCGAGCCACCTACTCTTCCCTCCCACCAAGAGTTAACAAATGAGGAAGCTGCAAGCTGTCACACTGTGCTCCTGTAATTCTTTCAGTCAACCCCCTACACAGCATCTGAATCCCACTTCACTGCAGAACCGCACTGGTTTATACTGTCCTGTAGTCAGTACAGACTTGTCTACAAAACCAGTAAATACCAAAAGTTGAATAAAAATTCACTATCTTCCCTCTGAGTTTTGTAAGAAGTTCAGACACTCAATATTACAGTCAGGATTCACTGTTACTGTCTTGAGATGAAAGCTGATATGCAACAGCATCTATCTTAAAGGCCATGCCTCCAGTTTAGTTAAACACCATGGGCCCATGAGGTTAGAAATATTCTTGCAGGATCCATAGGAAAAAAAAAAAAAACACACTACTAATTTTACCAGTTTTTAGCAACTGATCATCAACAACGCATTTGGAAAGGTAGTTATAAAATTCTGAAGGCATAAAGTTGTCACTGGACTCTAATTTCATTTTCAGACAAGAAAGAAATAATTGCTCAATACGTAAATCATCACTTGTGGCTTTCTGGTTTACCTACATGTGGCAGATTGGATTCTATAAAATATTTACATAATAAAATACATGTAAATAGCAGCAAGAGAAGACAAAGAACACTGAAAACTGACTTTGCTTTTGTATATTTTTCCAAACTCTGCAGAATATCCATTCCCACATGAAGGTAAAATGGGTTCTTTGTGGCCTAAATAAGGAAGACAGACAAAAGTTAGAGTCAGCAATTTTGAAATCTTGTAAAAAACACACTTACAACAAAGGCCTAAGTAGTATTAGATTCTCACGTATTACAGTAAACTTATCTTTATAGGAACATGACAGATTACTCTGTGCAAGCCTCTCATATTTGCTTTAGTGCAAATCCTAATAAAACTTGTAGCAAATTCAAAGTCTTTGATAGCTTTCTTGCAGCCAGAAAGTTATTTTAGTTTGCTGTATCTTCTGCCAGTTGCAGACTATGACTAGACAATATAGCAAGGAAAGCTATTACATTTACTTCAACAATTTCTATTAAGAAGTCACAAGTCTCTACCTCGTAAAAATCTGCCAGCTATTTTTTGAAAAGGTTGTTTAGTCTCATTTTTGTCTGTCTTACAAAAAAGGCTATTTTTTCAGCGAACAACATAGCAGCTACATTGCATAATAATCTAGTGCCCAGAGACCTTCGTATAAGAACAGGCAGATCCAGAGGCACCAAATTTTAGCAGGCCAGAGGCTAGGGGTAGGAAAAGTGACTTTCTGAATGAAACCATTTTTGCCAAAACATGAGCTTTAAGCTCAGAAAAGTCAGGTACCTGATAGAGAAGATACGTGGATTCCACAAGCTCTGGCCTCAGTGGATAAAAGGGAACGTCTGGTGCTTGCAATTGCCAGTTGTATCTTTCTGGGAGAGCTCCATATCGTTTCCATATGGCATAATAAAAAGCATGGAGACAAATAGCATCTTCCACATCTCCTATCAATACCTAGGCATAACAACAGCCATAAACATGCACGCGTAATACTGCAAGCCAGCAAATTGCTTTCTGCTCTGTGTAAGAACATGCCATATAATAAAACACTCCCCTCTTAATGAGAGACAAAAAAAACCCAAACCAACCTCTCCCAAAAAAGCAAATGTATTAATTCCTTCGCACTAAAAGCTTTAGCGGAGCTCAACCTCACAGCATGGCATAGAAATAATGAGGTTAAATGAGAAAAGTTAAAAGTATCTCAAATCTAGCAGAGAGCAGGCCAGGCCTTCCTATATTGTTATGCTGATGCAGAGGCTGAACCCGCCCTAAGACTTTCTTATCAGAGCGGCCAGATGTAAACCCATAGGTTGAAGGTCATCTCAGAAGAGATGCTCAGATTCATTCACAGTCTAGGATTCAAACGAACCTCTCTGACAGCCCTCTACTGTGTCATTCGGTCTTTAACAGAATGAAAGTTTACCTGCAGTCCAGGAAAAAAGGCTTGCAAAGAGTCAATCCACGTGTTCATCAGCTGTCCTGTGAACATGTTTACATTAACGTACAAAGGAGGGTCACCTTCACCTTCATTGCAAGCTTCTCGACTGCCAAGTAACAATAAGCATGTGTAAAAATTCACTATTTTAGAAGAACACAATGCACATTTCATTTTACAGCACTGCCACCAGCAAAGAGAATGAGCCAGATTTGTAGGACAAAGCCATTTTGAAAACAATCAAAACATCAGTCATGCTCAGAAAAATAAAGGTATGTACATCATATCCTTAAGTTATGTCAGCAGAATCTCAACCAAAAAGTCACGCTAGGTAAGATCAGGCCTTGAGAAGTACTCAACCAGCCAATTTAATACATTTCCTTTGCAGTTCTACAGCCTTCTCTCAGCCTAACATTTACTAACTTGGACAGTTACCAGTTTAGCTTCTTTGCACCAATAATGCTATTCAGCTCAGTTGACTAAGGAGTGAAGGGAACATTAAAATTTATTTCCACGGTGACTACCACAGAAATGAGGTTTTGTTTTTTAAAGAAAAAAAAAAAGAGAACACAGATTTTCTAGAGCATGACGCAAAACACTATCTTGCTGGACTACTTATCACTTAAGGAATTGGTACTCATATGAAATAACATACCCTCTTCTTAAGTGGTTCTGAATGTTCCGATAAGCATCATTGAACATCTCCAAGTCTTCCTTTTCTCCAAAGAGGATGTAAGACTTCAGAAGGTATTCATAAAATGAATCGGACCCTGCTCCCAAGCCACTTTGCTTTCCAACCCAATGGCCAGTTTGAATATTCACAACATTTCCTTTCAGAACAGACAAAAAGTTTAGACTAAAATTGCCAAGTACATCAGAGAAAAATAATCAAGAACCAGAACTTAGAAATATTACATCTTCAAAAAGTCTTAAGGAGGAATAATCAAAGATTACTATCCAAATAAAGTGTTACAGTGCATTCATCCACAGAACGAGCATACACATGCAGTTGTTTTGAGTGCTTTTAGTCATCTGCCAATCTAAATTACATTAATGGGGATACAAATGTAAGAACTTCAGTTTCATTTCCCCCTTTCCTCAAAAGTTTGTCTTTGGAAATCTGTGCCCTAAGAAGCCATTCAGATACCCCATTTTTCTTACAAAATTACAGAGTGCCATTTGGTCATCACAAACCACAAGTACACAAGAGGAGCATGACTTAACAGCCACAGAGGAAGCACATCGACGACATTTACAATACATGGAAGAAACCTGTAGCATGATGGCATTCCGCTACAGGAGACTGAGTTGGTTAAAACATGGAGCCAGTCAATATAGCATCACATCAGAGGAGATTACCTAGCAGTCCCGTGTTATTGCTTCTGAGACTCCAGAGCGCTTTGACAGCTCTTCTGGCCACCCATTCAAACGTGGAATCGCCAAGCAGCCTGCTAAGGATACCAAACTCCACCAGCAAGGAACCGGCTCCAGCAGTACAAGTTTCATTATTGCTGTCTGGAGGTACCCCCTTCTTCAGATTCACCTGTGAAGCCAGTCAGAGAGAGTGCTAACAGCAAGAAGGCAGGTTGCATCTCATACGGCTGTGCTCTCCTCTGCAGTCTTATATTTATTATAAAGCCTCTGTATTAGTTTTTGCAACATGTAGCGTACAACGTGCATATAGTTAAAAAGCCATCATATGGCTGCTTGGTCAAAAAGCTTTCCTGAAGAATCCCTGAAATTCATTTTCCAGCTTTATGACATCACGCTCAAGGTGGGCAATCCTAATTTTGCTACTCTTATGCTTGCTCATCCTTGCAAATTTCAGTCCACTTTTTCATTGTTTCTGCTAAACATTCAGGTTCTTCCAAGGGTGATGCAAGTACTGCTTCCCTGCATTTAGTGCTCTTGAAACCAAGAGTTTCTTCAGCAAACACTCCTCAAGTTCCCCACGGAACAAAATGCTGAAGGGAAGTTACACCACCCTCAACTGCTTTACCAGACTCCAAACAGAAGTGAAAGTTCCTGTTTCTACAGCCTGACAGGTCTGAAGGAAAAGCAGTCCTGCTGTCCCCAGAAATTAAAAGCAGTCAGGCAAGTGCTAATTACTTTTAGAGTTTAGAGTTGTGCCACTAAAACTGACATCCCTCTCCTTGTGAACTGCATCTGCTTAAAACGAGAGGATGGAGTATTCAAGAATACCACAGTATTCTTGAGTACTCACTGAGCTGTATTCAAGAAAATTACAAATTCCAAGTCCAGTATGACAAATATTTTAGATGAGTTTTTTTTTTTTTTTTAGATGTGAATTTTATCACAATTACCTTAGTACCAAGTCACCAATAAAGTCACTTTCCTAGGCTATTTGCCTTTACAATATTTCTTGTTAACCTTCTTAATGACAGCATTGTTTGTTGCTGCATGATATACAGCAACAAAGTGCGGGCAGGGCACCTTCCAGCCAAACAAAACAGAAACAAATGACTACTGACCCTGCAGAACAATATACACAGCACAAAAAGCAGGCTAAAGAAAACATTTACTAGACCTAAGGAGCAACTGATATATCATCCACGTCACCATAACTTAGCACCGTTTCCCCCCCACGCCATTTTAATGCAGGTTCAATACCCCAAGTGCACATATAAATGCATACACAGGGCACAGAATTCGAGTTGTAGGACAGGTGAATTACTACTTTTAGATTATTTCCCCACAGCGTTGGTGTGCTCACTTACCCGAGGATACGGAATTCCAGTTTTGGTGTTCTCAAAGGCTGGAAGCAGTCTCACTGCTAGGTCATGAGCCATATGCAACAGTTCATTGTCATAATCCTTAATGGTCATATCACCAAAAGGCTGTTTGGTATCTGTAATTATTATGTGGGCAGAAAGCAGGCTTCCCAAAACCCTATGGGAAACGGAAAAGATCTTCAGTTTTTAAATCTGATCTGAACCGAGTTCTTCAGCTAAACCCTTACCAGTATCATGTTTAAGGAAGTATCACTTTGTGCACCTTACAGGCACTACAGAAACAGACCTGTTTTTTTCCCCACCAGTAGTGAAAACATCTAGAAGGCATGTTGCTCGTCACCCACAGTAATCCCAAAATCCAGTTCTGCAAAATATTCCTAACCCAGCAGCTCCTTACAGCATACCAAGTCTATTAATGAGTGAAGACCTCCTTGCCCCTGCAAATTGCAGGAAGGCTGTTATTTTTTTCTGAATACTACGTTCGTATAAGGCTATCCAAATTAAGCAGCAATTGAATAAACACTGTTTAAGACATTCAGAAAATGAAGCTACTTAAAATCAGACAGTATCTTAAACTCATCTCCAAGACAGACAGCCCTGTTTTTCATCTAAAATGAAAGTGAAAGCAAGCCAAAGGTCCAAGGAAGAAAATCAAAAGAGGGAAAACCTGTCAGCAGGGTTGTTTACTGTGCACAGATCTGAGTCTCTGCTGCAAGAGCAACAACAAAAAAGCAGCAGTTTGCAGCCAAACACTGTTGAAACTACCACTGTATCACTGCTTCAAGTCACATGCAACTCATTAAAATTGTTTTAATTATGAAAGGATGGAACATTTTCATAAAAGGTTAAAAAACAACTTACTCAAGGAACAATTATGGAATAAAGTCTACCAAAGATATCCTTATCAATGATTTCACTTTGGTTCCCCCATATAGGCACACCAAGTCTTTAACCTTGTTACTGTTTTCAAGACAGAGTTAGAGCGACATACCTGATTGTTGCCTCAAAAACTTGGACCGTTGAGTCTTTATCAAATGAAACCGTTTCAATCACCAACTTCACTGCTTTCTGGAATTCTGAGGAGTTTCCCATTACCTTTTACATAAAAACAAAGCTATTTTGTCTAATTGTTGCTCTGGAAGAGGGTTGGCGAAGAGAATGGCAAGTTTACATTTTAGACCAACAGTCATATTAACTAGGTACAGAACAGACTACTTCAAGCTCCTGCTGCTTTCTGGAAAATTATTCATCCTACTGACGGGTAAAAATGCATTTTTAAAAAAGTATGTTAAAACAGGGAAATCTGCAAAGATATATTTTTGTCCGCTTTACTGATCTATACACTCACGTATTTTTCCACCCCAACATCAGTGCTGTGGGTGATCTCTTAGAACAGAAGTCTAAAAACTCTTAAGATCTAGCACACAGTGTTTTAACTGCTTAAAACTATCAGTTTAAGAGTTAAGTTTAGCTTAAAAGGTACCACAATTTGCAGAACAATGAAGTCTGGTTTGACATTTCCTTGACCAGGGGAGTCCAACTTTTCGAGTTTGTGACTCAACACTGCATGCCATGCCCAGGAGTTCTGTCGGGCCCATTTTCTATAGGTACACCTCAGCAACTGATTTCTACTATATTCAGAGACAGATGTAAATTCAGCTCCAGCTTCAAGGAAACAGGAACACAGAAGGAAAACATGTTTTCCCGCTTGCACAAGTTCACCATAAGGCTGGGAACCTACTTAGCTCTTTAACCATCAAAACACCATGCACCAGTGTCTGCTCTTTGCAATACCCAGACCTACGGCAAAAGCATTCACACAGATCTGAGCGGACGAAGAGCAAACCAGCCTTTCATCATGCAAACGCTTCTCAAGCACAAGAGACTAAGAACCTTAAGTTTTATATTTGAGAAAAAAAGTTATGTACTGCCCCAAGAGGTATGGATAGGACACCGTGCCACTGGTGAACGAGGACAGGAAGGCAACTGTCTCGCCGCACCACCATCAGCCACGTCACACAGATCCCTAACCCCTGTTTCAGTCAAAACCAATGTTTTCCTCACTTCCTGCTTTCAGTTCTGTTCATTGCTGCCACGTTCAGTTCAACTGCTGAGACCTTCTCACTGCAGAGCTGCAATTCCATTGCAGCAATAGGAAGTGTTTTATAACCTGAAGTGCACGTACAGTCCTTGCACACACCACCTTCTCCACAAGAAGACAGACATGCACCACAGATCCAGTGCATCTGGCCCCGACAGTACAGAAGGCCAAGAACCTGCCCTGGCTGCAAAGACTGTGAAACCTAAAAGGGTTTCTAAATACGCATAAGGAGTCCAAGGAAGGGGCTGTTCTCCATGATACCATACTATTGGTCCTGCTAACATAAAACTGAGATGCTTTTCACATTATCTTCAAATTTTATCAGAAATGTATATGATGGTCTATTTTAGCAGGCAAGAAGCAGCTTTACAGCTTTTTCCCCTCCTTCCTTTCACCACTCTTCATACAGATCTGTATGTTGGTCCAGCTCTGCCAAGCAAAACAGTTGGAGCTCTTGCACTCATCTCGAATAAGACAAACTCTCCTCCTGACATATCTCTTGGCAACCCATGCATGTCCCAGTTCAAATCCACTCTTCCTAAACACTGGAGTGATGACAGTATCCCGAAAGGGATCTCACCTGAGCCTTGGGGAAGATCTCCGAAATTTCCTCTGTCTCTTCTGGAAATCTCTGCTGATACATCCCCACATACCCTTATCCTTCCCTGCGTGTGTAACACTCCGCTAGCGTGTGATCCAGCCGTTAGCTGGTATACAACCAGCACCACCTTCTCCTCAGAAGTGAAAGATTTAATAACCTCCCGCTTAAAACTATTAAACCTTTCACTGCATATTCCTGAAGTTCATTACAACTTTAATTGGTTCCTCACAATGTCATCTCATCTGCTCTTCGCGTTAAGAATTGATGTCTATTTCTATCAGCAGCTCTGCATGAAATATCACACTTTTTGCATGAACAACATTAACATGCAAAAACTAAACAGCACTGGTCCCACTCAGGTTGTTGGAAAACACTGTAGAGTAACTACTCCCTCCAGTTTGAAACTTCCCCCAACTTGTCACCACGTTTCTTTACCAAGTACCCCTTTTATTCAGCTCCACTAGCACTTTTTTTTTTTTTTTAAAATACAGAGCTGATTCAAGATATCAGATCTGCTGTGGTTACAAGTTCAACCTCAGAGCATAGGACAATATCAGTGTTGTTCAGTACCAGGGTAGATGAACCTAGCAAGACCCCCCTTGAAAAGAACATCGAATAACTTAATGCTGTACTACATCCTCATTTTCCCCTTTAACTCTTTCCTTCAAAGTCTGTTCGAGCACATCGCCTGCTGTCAAGGTGACAGCTCGTGACCACACTCCCACCTCAATCCAGCTATCCCACAACCGAGACCTGCAGTTTCACAGCCCTTCTAAACAAAGCTCTGTGCTCAAGCATGAGCTTTGACTTCTGGTTCCCAACACCAGGGTTGGGAATAAACCACCCAGTGAATTGCGTCAGGTGCCCATTTCGCTGCTAACAGCCGGACCAGTAGAACAGAGCAAGAGAGACCCATGCCTCTTCAGCTATCTGGGGTTTCTCATCTCTCTCAAACCCTCTCATCCAACTGACTTCAGCCTTTTGGATATTAACGTCCATATCCTGCTAAGAGACCGCCTTCAGAGTTTAATTAGCCAAAGAGTTACTCTTTGGCAACAGAAACATAGAATAGAATCGCAGAATCATTTAGGTTGGAAAAGGCCCTTAAGATCGTCGAGTCCAATCACGAACGTACCACTGCTGTGTCCACCTAAACCACGTCCCTCAGCACCACGTCTACACGTCTTTTAAATACCTCCAAGGATGGGGACTCCACCACTGCCCTGGGCACTGCTCCAATGCTTGACAACCCTTTGGGTGAAGAAATTTTTCCTAATATCCAATCTAAACCCCCCCTGGGGCAACTTGAGGCCGTTCCCTCTTGTCCTATTGATTATTACTTGGGAGCAGAGCCCGACCCCCCCTCGCTACCCCCTCCTGTCAGGGAGCTGTAG